AGAGAGAGAGAGAGAGAGAGAAATGCAAATCCAATCAGCAGTAATATAACAGAATGAATGTCATAAATCTAGCTGCCATGCATGAAATAATCACCTATTTGCCATAACAGATAGCCTGTCGGCTTGTATCTGATTAGATCACCCTTAATTTATACAGTGATTGGTCTAGGCTGGTGACATTTTGGACCCCATTACCAGATATTTTGATACTTTTTTTTGTTTTTAAGAGACAGTCATTATTATAAATAGAGTATTGTAATGTATGCTATCATTATTACTTTATCTCTTTGTGTTCATATTAGTTTTTCTTTTAGGTTTAAATTGAATAAAATTCTTAAAAAAAACTAGTTCATGTTAGATGTAATTGCACCAGTAAAATGAGAAAACATTTAATAATAATGGAGTTAAATTGTGTAGTAAAACCACAAGCTATACAACATTGTTAATTCATGCAACATTATGATAGTGGTTTCAGTAACAATATGAGTGTGAATCTTTGCTTTGTTGGCATGATGACATTTAAGATGTATGTTCAGCAGCCAATTAGGTTCAAGATGTCTTGTATTATTGGCAAGTTTAAATAATATGTTCAAGAAATATTATACACTTTTTGATACATGCTAATAGAGTTTTTAACTCTGGCAAAAAGCACAGAATTTGGGAGAAATACACAAGTCTTTATTATTTGTTATTAAACTGAAGTGGGGAGAAGTTGAAGTATACTTAAGAGATGGTAAATGATGAAGAATCCTTTAGTACTTTGTTCAGTAATGAGTGGTCATTTAAATTTCCTTTAGTGGCTTTGTTTCTAAGTCTTTTTTTGCTTGAATAAGTGTTTTTTTCTATTGCTCAGGTGTTAATGTTATTACTAGAATATTTTGTACAGCTGTTACAGCATTTTTTAAACATAAGTTATTTAATTTTGGTGAAGTTCACGTCCTGTTAAAATCAGTAAATTAAGTTTTTTAAAATTACAGTTTGGTTCTGGAAAGTCCTGATATTTTTTTGATTAATCTGTGTGAGCCATGTCTATTGCCTGTTAATTTAAATCGATTTATTTTAGTGGTTTTTGTTCAAACTTATTGATAAGCTTGGTATTTACCTACATTATTACCTATTGGTATTAGCATAAATACAGTGCTGCAACAATTTAAAAATTAACATAGGGTTTGATCCTTGCAGAGAACACAGTGCAGGCAGTTCATTGCAAGGCTTTGTACTAAAAATAATAATAAAAAACTTTTCAGTGTCCTCCATTTTCCATTATCTGCTAACCTGTGCAACAATCAGAAACACAAAAAGTGATATATCAAATGTAAAACTTGTTTATTGTTGGATATGCAGAGTATAATACTTATGGTTAATCTGGCATCATCAGGTACAACAACAAGAAATGTAACCTTAAGTATTATACTCTGTATTTCCAAAGATAAATAAGTTTTAAGTGTTATGTAATAGAGTGCTTCCTTTAATTAAGAAAGCATTTCACATAATGCCTTAAATGAATATTACTTTCCTGAAGAGGTTGTAAGTACTTGATTAGTAGCATATGTGATCACCTAAATCTAATAATCAATTAATAATTTTTTAATTTTATTATTGTTGTTAACTAGATGCTAATTACTAACTAGTTTTTAACCTATGTTTCAGCTACTAATCTGCTGCTGTCTTCAGCAAAGTCTTGAGAAGGACTATTTCCTGAATTAGTAGTGGCTGAGATTTGATCCTGAAGCTTCTTGATGGAGGTTCCAGTTGAGTAGATAATGAACCAGATTTCCTTCAAGAAGACCCAGGATCGAATCCTAGCTACATCTAAAACAGAAAAAATATTCTTTCCAAGGACTTCCCTGAAGACAGCATCAGATTAGCAGCTGAAACATAAGATGAAAACTAGTTATTAATTAATAATAGTAACAATTAAAAGTTACTAATTAATAATTAGGCATAGGTAATCATATAGACAACTAACTGTGACAATGATTACTTTTCTCAGCCTTTTGCCTGTACTTTAATTTCTATCATAATATAAAGCAGTGGTGCACACCATATGGCCTGATACATCCTATTGACTGCTTTTATTCATCCCTTAAACATATTAATATTATAAATGAAAAATATATGATGCTTAACTTCTTAATTATTTAACTGCTAACTCACTAGCCAGAATCAAGAAAGCAGAAATATTTGTAGAAATCTCTAAAACCTTCTTTGGTTAAGCTTCAGATGTTTTGGTCAGTTTTGATGTTACTAATGTGTTCCTCAGCATTTCTGTCGACCTTGTCCTTCCCATGGTCCACAAGTGATTAACATCCCCATATTTTCACACAAATCTTCATGTAGACAGTCTGTTAGAACTTCTGACCTTCTGCACTAACTCCATCTACTTTCAGTTTCAAATTATACTCTGTGAACAAACCAATGGCCTTCCTATGGGACCATCTTTATTACCCATTCTTACTGACGTTTTTGTGGAAGATTTTGAAGCCAGAGCCCAACAGACAAGTAACTTTAAACCTAAGATTTGGAAATGCTATGTAAACTGTGCTTTACTTTGAAGAAACAATCCTTCATTTATCTTCATATGCAGGTAAATTTCAAACTTAGAAATAAAATATGGTAAATTTTTTATATTTGTATACAATGTAGATCTCGTACAAAAAATTTGATGTGGTATGGTGTTCTTGGAGGTAAAGAACTATGGCAGCGCAGTTTTAGAAATCTAGAACAGAAAGTACAACTAGAATGTGATGGTCGACGAATACCATTGCCATCATTGCAGGGCATTGTGGTATTAAACATTCCAAGGTAGGCATTGTTTCTTTTTTTGGAATTAAAGATACTGTGAATGGTTTGTTATAACTAAAGTTGATTTTAATATAGCTTGAGTGGTAGCTAAACAAAAATAATACCATGTGTGTATTATGTATAATTTCATCATGTAGTCTTGGGAGTTAACTATTGCTAACACCTAGAGATGATCCTCATTATGAAGTTAACAGGAGTTGAGTATTTATTCTTGTTATGTTTAGTTAGCTTTTTTAAATAAAGGGGATAGTATGATTTCCTGATATGTGTAGTGTTGGATGTGTTGAACCTTTATTTACAGTTTGTAGATAAGTCCTGTTGAGTTGCTGTCATAATTTATATGAATTATAATATAAAAGTTTAAGATACATGACACCAGGTTATGTATGATACAGTTATCACTAGCAGTGCATTATAAAGCATAATATATATAATAAAGTTATATGGTTTTATTTCATATTATTGTCATGCAGTGTATGTTTTTGATAAATCTAATGTTGTTTAGTTAATGAAAAATTATATATCTTTATTTTATGTTTTTTGAATAAGCTGATCGGTTAGTTAAGCGTTAATTTTATTTTTGTCTTAGAGTGTTTCTAATAGTAAAATAAAACCCATGTTTTCATAAAGTGAAATTTTATTAATTATTCTATTTCATACAAACTACTTTAGTTTTATGCTTTTTTTAAACTAATATACATTTTAGTTACGGAGGAGGATCAAATTTCTGGGGAGGAACAAAAGAAGATGATGTAAGTTAATAAGTATTATTTTGTTAGAATTTTATAATTTCAGTATGAGGTTACAAAGAGTTGCTTGAAGTTGATGAACAATGTTAAAGTTGTAGGAACTATTATAACTTATTTGCTCTTTCAAGTTTAGTTTTAATAAAGTCAGATTTATTTAGTCTTGTATGCATAGTTTGTTTATGATTAAGTATGTTAATGGCTGATGTAAGGTTTAACTACAGTAATCAAATATTAAAATTACATATTATGAATAGAAAGTTGTAATTTTCAAATTATTGCCATCAAAACATGTAGACTATGTTTCTAGCTTTGAATAAATGGTTTCTTTCCAGGATGGTTGAATATATGTGTTAAATATCCATCATAAATCTTAAATCTTTGTTAATAATAATTAATGTTTGCTGTTTGTTTATAAACATTAAATACATTGTGTAAATTTAGTATTTTTTTTATTTTTACATTTATGAATGTATTTTCATAGTCTACATTTTGAATCATTTTCCCTATATTTGATATTTAAAAAACGAATTCAAGCAGTAACTTAGAATATACATAGGAGGCATAAGTATTTTTACAGGTAGTAACAGTTGACAAACAAAAATGCAGTAAATATATATACATACATATATATATATATATATATATACACACAGTGTAATCCCATTATAATGCGATCGTTGGGGTCCATAAAATGTCATAGCAAAACAAGCGGGGTTACGCTAAATCGTGGTTCATGAAAATCACTTTTCAAACTGACCCAATGTTGACCTAACATCCTAAAACACCTCTATTTTCACCCTCTTTGACTAGTTTTTTACATGCTCCCTTTCTGGCAAGTAAATTACTTCTGAATTAAAGAATTTTGCAAATGAATCATTGTTGTTACAGTAGAAATTAAAACAAATTATTTTTAGTAGGCTTTTTAATAAACAAAACAACAAATAAAAACCTTCAAGAATATTAGCATTCATCATTTGCAGTCTATTTCTTAAAAAACTGATCGAGTGATCCTTGCTTGAATGTAGCATGTCTCTGACTGCGAGCGAAATCTAGAATGCTTCTGAGTTGGAGGATTTTTATGTGGTCCACCTCCTGAGTCTCCAGCCAACGGAGGCTAGCCTTGAGGTGTTCAATGGCTTCAGGCCCTTTTGGTGGTGGTGGTGGAGGCTCTTCATTATCCTCTTCTTGTGGCTCGAGAACCGGTACACTTGCCTCCATTGGTGATATAGTTACGTTACGGACGATCTTGGCATCCGTCAAGTGCTCATATGTTGGGCATTCATCGTCAACAGAGTACCACTGGTGTAGCTCTTCTTTGCTCCATTCAGATAGCTTCTTCCTTATGCACATCTTCCTCTGTGAAGTCGTACAAATTTGTCTCGTCATCATCATTTCCGTGGAGGATTGCTGTGATAAAAAGGCTAGCAGACCCTTCTCCCAGCATTTCTCTACACACGACGAGCTGACTGCTGCCCAGGCCTTCCCACCTAAGTGGCAAAC